AATATGTTTAAAGCAACAAAATCTGGCTATGCAACATACTTTTTTTCTTTAAAATATATACTGCCATAGTTTACACATAACAGAGAGATTCTGATTCTGATTATATTTTTATTCTTTCTGCTTACATGCATGTTAAAGGGCCAGAGCTGAACTTGAAAACATTGTTGATATTTGCAGAATTGCAGCAGCAGAGTGTGAGGAGGAGAACTGGCAGGTCTTTCCAATCTATTCCATGGGACACATCTGGAGCAGAATAACCAGCTGAATGAACACAATTGCTGTTTACGATGAAACCCTGCTAAATGGCAAAGCTTGGACACTATATCCACAAAGAGCACATCCAGTTACTCTGCTGCTCTGCTTGTGTGCAAAGAACTACAGATACTGTAGGAGAAAGGTGTGGTGTTCCTGGTGTTCATTCTTCAACTCCATGGAACATGAACCCAATCCTAACTCCTTCTGTTAATACCTTCAATATGTCATAATGCAGGATTTATCTTAAGGTAATGTTATTGTTTCGATTAGGTGATTGCCACCACAAAAGCTGATATTTGAGGCAATGCAAGAAGTTCAAAGGTTAAATGATTGGGTTATAAGAGCCTTAATGTAATCAGTACATTAATCCCCTGAATTGGATTAACTGGGCAGTAACCATAGGCAGGCAGGTTGTCATTAGAGGAAGTAGGTCACTGGGGTTAGGCATTGGGGTTTTATATTTTGTCCAAGGTACAAGCAGCTCTCTCTGCTTTCCTCTGCCATGCCATTCCACCATGATGTTCTGCCTCATTTTGGGCCCAGTCTAGAGAGTTGGTCAACCATGGACTGAACCTTAAACGAGGAGCCAATATAAATCTTTCCTCCTGTGTTCTCTTCAGATCTTATACTCAGTGACACAAAGCTGCCTAAAACACCTTTATAAAAATATCAAGTCCAGCATTAATAACATGTATTTAGAGACATAAATCTGTCAGTGGGTCTCCATCTGGCTGCATGCAGGATAAATGCCCCTTTCAAAGACATTTATAGGCTCTGCACCCAGAGATTCTGAGCCAGGTCTGGGTTAGGTTTGAGCAATCTAGAATTTTTACTAAGTCCTACAACGTGATTCTAGTCAACTTAGCACTGCTTTTCTGTGATTTCTGCAATGCCATTCATTACCTGTTCTCTGAGTTCCTGGATCATCTCATCATCTGTATCTTTGAAACTAAGATATCTCACAAATGTTATCTGGAAGGGGACGTTAGTGATTAGTAAGAATTGACTGTAGTTCTCAGAAACACAGAAAGGAACTAGAGTGTGTATGATCAACAGATGATTAGAGGAAGCAGGACACAAAGCATTGGTCATGGGAGGGGTGCCATGTTGAACATGTCCAGAAATTCTTTCTCCTAGTCTTTAATTAACCACAAGTATTTCTCAGCCTTACTCCTTTAGTGATAGTGAAGCCTGTTTGCCCCCAAATGAATTAAAAAAAAAAAAAAAGCTATGGGGCAAGCTTTTTCTCCACACCGCCAGGCCAATTCTGATAGGCCAACCGTAGATGGATATAACCAACCCTTCCCATTTTGGCACCCCATGCACACCTCAACCAGTCTGACAGCCTTTGGTATATGTGTACTGCATTAAAGCTCATCTTTGACAGCTCTGTGCATATTCTACATGGCACAAACACAAGACAAACAAATACATCTTAAAAACAATACCTGCATATATTGTAACTTTTATAGAGAATAAGACAAAAAAAAACCCACAAACATTTAAAAAGCAGAGGTTAAAAACCTTACTGTTAATTGAATCAGGACACAGGCATTATAGACACTTTTTTAATGACAACAGATAGTAAATTTATACAAATGACGGGCTAGAATACAATGAATACAAAACCCATCTAGATAAGGGTAGGAAAAGCATCACTTACAAAAATCAATCTGAGTCAAATGGCTAAAGAACTCACACCCCCTACTGCATTAATGACACATGGCTTGAAACCAGGCACACTGGCATCCTCTCCCTAGCCAGAGCAGTAGTCAACACTATGGCATAGCCAATGACAATAGAGACTTAAATATTCTCACTCTCCGCATTGACATCGAGACATCTTGTAACAGATTCACTCTGCAAAACTGAAGAGAATGTGTGAGTGCTCTTTGCAAACTGTATGTGCTATGCAGCTGTTGTTAGCTACTGCTATTATTCCTGTTCAGTGAAGTCTCACCAAACACGGGAAAACGGAAGACTAGTGTGTATAACTGAGAAATATGACTCATAGAATATGTGAAAAGGAATATTTCCTTCAAGTACACAGCAACAAGAAGGAAACAAGGAAAGTGGCCAGGAGTGATGTTGAGGAATTTTGTTCTATTTTAAGGAATACATAAAGGACCAAACTATTTACAGATTACTTGTAATGATTATGGTTATGTTGCTCAAGTTCCTGAAAATAATTTTAAGATTACTCTTTATACCTGAAAAGGGACCAAAAAAAATAAGTCCTGTCAAATTTTTAATGTATACTTCAGCACAACATTTGTAAAAACTATCGTAACACAGGAGCAGAATCTGCATGAACAGTTGTACAGCCCTGGTGGAGGACATGCAATGCTTAACAGCAGAGAAACCTGCCATTGAAGAGACAAATTGTGTGCCATAGTTGAAGCATGTATCAAACGGGTTTGACAACAGTCCACAACTTCACATGGGCACAAATGAACAATAAACATCAACTTGTCTGGGTTTAAAACAAAATTTAAATGTTTTATGTACCTTCAGGTTTAGTCTGTTTGGGGTATATGTAACTTGTTTAACTGTTTTTACTTGTTTCCTTGGGTACTGTAGCTGTGTATGTAAAATTTATATGAAGATGGAAAATAAACATGAAACAAAGTTAATCAGTTTTTTTTTCTTGGTAAAGCTGATGTGATTTTTTATAATGAAAACATTCTAATTATCACAATTTATTTCTGTAAAGATGCCCATGAAGCACAGGGCTTTTGTTTGTTTCAGGTCCTGGGGAATGAAACTAGGAGGACTTTACCACTGAGCTATATCTCTAGCCCCTTTTTAATTTTTATTTTGAGATAGGGTCTGGCTAAATTTCCCAAGTTGGCCTTGAACCCATGATTCTCCTGCCTCCACCTCCAAACAGCTAGAGTTACCACTGTGTGCCACTTTGCCTGGCTGAAACATAAGGTTTTGTTTTGTTTTTAATAGTAGGTTTATAATTCTTCATTAATAACTCAAAACCAATTTCTACTATTGTACACAAAATGGTATTCATTTGAAAAGCTAATGACATTTTATGGCAGAGTTTTCATTTTTCAGCAAAAAAGGAAATACATCCTGGAGAGTAAATCAGGAGTTTAGGAAGTATCATTACAGTAAATGGGATTATATCAGTAGCTTGGACTGATGCTTCAAGTTATACTTCCTAATTGAGGTTCTTGTTACAAGCAGTTTTCAAACAACAGTGAAAATATTCCTAATTTAAAACATGTATAAGGGCTCAACTGTAGCTTTACTTCGTATACATCTTGAAGTATATACATTATACAAGCAAAAACTGGCAAAATATCTTGAAAAATAAACTTATTTCTCAAATACCCATGTTAACTAACACAGTTATCAGCAGAAAACTGGTGGGTTAACAGTTAAAATCCTAGGAAAAGTAACTGCTTTGAAAAGTCTATTTGGTAATAATCCTAAATATCAATAATCCTAACACGTGATTGTAACTTTTTAACACTGGCATTTTTCCAAGAGAAAATGATGTGTTTGCACATATCCCTGGTTTTAATGCTTACAGAAAAATATCCATATCATTAGCTACTCAGTAAATGTCTAAAATTAAAAAAAAAAAAATCCAACATTGGACATTATATTTTACAAAAAGTCTAAGATCCCAAAAGTACAAGAAAAACCTTGGCATTATAAAAAATTCAGGTGATTAATTCTAAATACAGCAGGTCATCTAATGAGTAAACCATTTAGAACTCTACCACACAACACCCTAGATTCAAATGCCATTATATACAATTGTAATCTTTACCAAAAACTTTACCTTTAGAATACCTGCTTAAAGATATTTAAACTGTAGACAACATTTAACTTTAAGCAAGAATTAAGAATAATCCTATAACCACACTAATCTTTTATTTTTCTTTATAAGCATAAGTGCATACTTGACTTTTATGCCTAATCATCCATTTTTTCCTTTTGTCCAGTTCCACAACATAAAAAAAACCTAATAACAATGAACAAATTGATAATGGCAAACACCTAAGCAAGGGGCCTCATATTAGTATCATCAGTAATAAGAAATTTATATTTCCTTTTACTTTCTTAACTAATACATAAAAACATAAATATAGTACATATTTTGGGGGGCATGTGATATTTTGATACATATATACACTGTGTAATGTTTAAATTAGGTTACATGTATCTATCCCTTCAGACATTTATCATTTCTTTACATGGTAAAAACACTGAAATTTTGAATTTTAAAAGTAAAATATGCTTTATACGAAAATGGCCAATTATCTGAAAAAATGCAAATAGCTGTCTGGTACAAATGGCAGGATTTGAACTTAAACCCAACTTGTGATGTTGTATGGAATTAGCATCAAGAAATAGCTTTCAAGGGCTGGGTATATAGCTCAGTTGGTAAACTTATTGCCTTGGATGCATAAGGCCCCAAGTTCAATCCCCAGCACCACAAAAAAAAAAAAAAAAAAAAAAAAAAAAAACAGAAGAAATAACTGTCAAAACTGCACAGAGGATATAAACCAAAGTAGTGATTATCTCCATGTGACAAGATTAAGGGGGAAATTTTTGTTATTTTCCTGTTTGAATATGTATTTTCCATATAATCATATGGTTCTATAGAAAAAAAAAATTAAGGGATCAGTGTTTTTAGATTGCACACAAATAGTACCAAATGGCTGGAAAGAATACAGACTGAAATTACAAAAGTAAAATCACAGGTATTTTTTCCCATTAAAAAGGAACTTGTGGATTAACTATGTGTCTATATATTGCATGAACTAAGGTCTGATTAAAAAGACCATTAGATCAAGATATGCCTAGAATGCTTCAAAGTGATAAAAATGTTTTCAGAATTGTTTACACTGTCAATGTATGGAAATATGAATAGTTTATGAAATGTAAATTCATATACACTATAATTTAAGAAAAAGTAAGAATTACAATTTTAAATAAAATGTCCACAAACTTTGTAATGAAGCCTAACTTAGATGTTGAACCAGGGGGTAAAGCAGAACATAAATAGTTGGTCTGAAAAAGCATACAACTGGCAGGCAGCTCTTGTCTTTGTTCTCTAGATCCCACAATAAACCAAAGTCCTTTTGTATGAATGGGTGTGGCTTATCCTAGTTTTCCGGAGAGATTTGTTCTGACTAGGAATTACACTTTTTGTGAAATTTCTCAGTGACATTCAGATTAATTGTAGTGTCCAAAATTTAAGCACTTTTCCACAGGAAATTAAAATCCCAAATCCAAGGACCTGGTATTTTCATGATAAGTTAGGAAAATGCTCCAGTGTCAAAGTTTAGGCTTGCTTCATTATATACATCTTAATATATGTACAGTATAACTGAAAAGCAACTTTTAAGATTGAAAGCTATAAAACTTTTTTGGTTGTCAGATAATCAAACTCTTCCCAGGATAATGTGAAACTCACATTAATTTGTAACAATTTAACTTTTCCAATTTCTCCTTTGCCAATGGGAAATTCATGAAGTTAAATCCACTTATACAAAACATTATATTAGATGAGTCAAAATTTACACGTGGTCAAATGTGACTCATTAAGTTTGATTTTAACATGTTCTTTCAACTTTATTCAAATAAAATTTACTCATCACCAATGTCCCAAAAACATTTACCATATTAAAAAATCAATTCAATTCCATCAAAAGGTGATGTTCACTTTAATCTTGCTTTCCTTCACGCCACTGCCGTGAGCCTTCATTCCACGCTACATACACAAAGAGAGCCAGTACCACATGAACCGCAACCACAGCAACAATCGCAGCATAAAAGTAACTATCTCTATTCGACATTCCGAGGATACCTATCAAAGAAAGAAAAAGCTTTCATTTTATTTCAAAATTTATCAAAGTACAAAAAAGAAAGTACACTAATTATTATTAGTTGCATATTTAAGTAGTCAAGCTATTAAAAGGTACTATTTTTGGATGGTAGTAAATTGAATATTCACTAAGATTTGACAATCTATGTACTGAGAACATTAATTGAAAGGAAACTATCATTATAATTTCATTTAAGGATTTTTTTTATACTGGATCCTGAACTTGGAGGCATATCCCAGTTCTTCTTTTGGGGGGGGGGGGGTGTCGGATAGGGTTTTAGTAACAAGCACAGGCTGGCCTCCAACTTGCAATAGTCCTGGCTAAACCTTGCAAGTGAGAATTAAAGATGTGCACTACCATGGCTAGCTTTTTAAGCACTTTGACATTAAAAAGGAGATTTAATTTTCCCTTTCTTTGAATAGTTGACACAAAAATTCCATCTGATGAAATTCTTTTTTCAAACTCTTCTCAAAAGGATAGTAAAGAAATGCAAGGTGATATACATAAAAGTATGTTAGAATGAAATAATTACATATGAAAGAGTGCATTTCATGAAGATTTATGATTAACATTTTTTGTAAATCAAAACCAGAGAAAAAAACAGCAATACTCACTTTACTGATAAAAAGAGTTCAAAGTACAGAACTTAAATATGTAAAGGGTAAAATTCCTTTTATATGAGTTGAGGATTACCTTCAAATATATAAGATTTAGTTGTGAAATATAATCCAATAGGAACTGTGATCATTAAAGCTGTGAAGAACAAAAGAGTCTTCAGAGTAGACGCTAAAGAACTTTCGCTTCTGGAATGAAGTAAAGAAAGGAAAATTGAGAATCTTCACAGCTATATCCAAATAGTCTGTAACACTATAAATTCCCACAGACCAGATGCTGGAAAATCTATCCCTGCCTTGGAATTAGTGCCCAGTGGACAGTGAGACAAAGCTTCAAAAACATAAGATCCAAAAGACAAAAGTGGGAAGTGGTACTCTCTTCTGCTGGAGCACGGGAATTTACATCCCTACCTTGAAGACACTCTCATTCACTTCGAAACTGATATTAATATACAGGGAGACAGTGATGACAAACCTGTTCTGTCTTGTCAGCTTCTCCCTCCGAAAGCCCTTCCAACACCATCAAACCCCGGTCCAAGCAGTGAAACCCATTAATCTGGTCGTAGTAATCCACCCTGAAAAAATGCAGCCATCTCTTCTGCGGAAAAAAAGGCCTGTCTTCACCCTGTTCGTTACCATTATGCTCCAATTATCAGTTTTAGGCAATGGGAGAGATGCAAGGTTAAACCTTGAGAACTTCACGGTAAGATCATAGTGCAGTTTGTTATGCTGGAAAATGGCGCAGATCCTTTTACCAGACTCAAGTCCAGCATTTTAAACCCATGGTGCCTTCTCCGAAGTAAATAACTCCACCTCCAACAGGAACAATGTGCCCTCCCAGTACCAAAGAGCCAGAGTCTAGACTATTAACCGAAAGACATCACATTACCGTGAAATTCAAGATTGGTGATTGTGACTCCGTGTAGACCTCGGCTAACGTGCATATATGTCTCTAGTTGTTTTTGTTTTTTTATAAGGTAAAAATAAATTTTAAAAACTTACAGAAAAATAAATAAACAAAATATTTCTCGCCAGTGCAGAGCCGCACTACCACTGATCAATGTCCTAATCCCAGTTCTCGCGAGAAGACAGGAAGTTCCGGGTTCAAAAAAAAAGCCAGCCTCAGTATCAGCGAGGCACTAAGCATCTCAGTGAGACTCTGTCTCTAAATAAAATACAAAATAGGGCTGAGAGGTGGCTTAGTGGTCAAGTGGCCCTGAGTTCAATCCCCAGTACCCCCCCCATCCCACAAAAATAGTGCCAGGCACGGAAGCACACGTCTATAATCCCAGTGGCGCTAAGCAACTTAAACCCTGCTCAAAATAAAACAAGAAGGGGTGGACAACTGAGATTGTGGCTCAGTGGTAGAGCACTTGCCTAGCATATCTGAAGCACCAACTCATGTATCACTTAACAACATAGATACGATCTAAGAAATGTGTTTTCATGTTATTTTTTATGGCTATACTCTAACTAGCCATTAAGCTATCATCAAAATCCTTAAAACAGGCATGATTGTACAAGATCAAAGTGTATGAAATTTGGGAAAATAATTGATATCCCCCTGGTATTTATACCATATTTTTTCCTTGGCTTCCAGCCCCACCCAGGCCTCTGCAGTTGTCCATTTTGGTTAATTATAAAACAAAGGAAATGATATCATTCGATTGTTTTCCTTTGTACCTCTGATTGAGGCTTACTGAGACTTGTTAGAAATGGAGTAGAGAAGGCCAGAATTAAAATTGTCCACCACTCACTAATACGGCTGTATGTATAAACGTGGCTGCAAAACCAATGTGATACTGCAATCTGTGCATGTGGAAAAGAAAGAATTCATACCCCACATGAATCAAATGTATGATATGTCAAGATCATGGTAATGTTTTGAGCAACTAATAAAAAAGATTTTTAAAAAATTGTCCACCACTTAGTTTTCCAACTACATAAAGGTTTACACAGTGAACACTGAGAACAAAAAGTTTACCACATTATTTTTCGTGTCAAGCAAAATTAAAAGTGTAATTTTTTTTCTCCCCTTCAACATGTCACTGCAAATTCCATTAAGAAATGGAATGGTGTCCCCTTCTCTACCAAAAAAAATCTCAATTAATTTTCTCCAGATAACTCAGCATACTTGTTCTTTTTTTTTTTTTTTTAGAGAGGGGGAGGGAGAGGG